CTCTGTCTTTCTCGATCTTTATCTACCTTTCCAATAAAGTGAAAATAATGATTTAAAAATTTTTAAAGAAAAAATAATCACAAACGGTATAAAGGTAAAAAGTGTCAAATGACTAATTAGACATGTGGGTATTAACCTTCAAGTTTTAAATATGACTTTAAGTGAAAGATGGTATCTAATGGTAATTCTAGGAGAAATATTTTAAAAATAGTTTTCTTATTAGAATCAATAGGAAATTTAGCTTCCAACATAGATCTACTTTAAATGATATCTTTGTTCAGGTTATTTATGACTGGAAAAGTCATCCAGAATCCCTTTTTATCAGGATATATATAACACATTTTGTATCTGAATATGTATAACATATGCAGAATATGTCTAACATATGCTTTGTATCAAAATATGTATAGCATATGCAGAGAGAGAGAGAGAAACATACTAAAGCAACTTGTATTCCATTTTTATGGAGTGTGTCACCAACTTTAGTCCAAATTGTGTACATCCCTATATAATGAGGGTGTTTCCTAAACTCTTCCTAAAGGAGGATTATGAAGTAGCACTTGAGAGTATTCCATTGCCAATCTATGTGGCTGAGGACGTCCAGTCTGCCTGTGGGCCAGATCACCTAAACAATCACTACTGTTTGAGAATGAGTCAGGCTGCTCTTTTTTTTTTTTTTTTTTTTTTTTTTTTTGACAGGCAGAGTGGACAGAGAGAGAGACAGAGAGAGAAAGGTCTTCCTTTGCCGTTGGTTCACCCTCCAATGGCCGCCGCTGCAGCCGGCGCACCGCGCTGATCCGATGGCAGGAGCCAGGATCCAGGTGCTTTTCCTGGTCTCCCATGGGGTGCAGGGCCCAAGCACCTGGGCCGTCCTCCACTGCACTCCCTGGCCATAGCAGAGAGCTGGCCTGGAAGAGGGGCAACCGGGACAGAATCCGGCGCCCCGACCGGGACTAGAACCTGGTGTGCCGGCGCCGCAAGGCGGAGGATTAGCCTATTGAGCCACGGCGCCGGCCTATGCTCTTGAGTCTTTATTCTTTACCTACGAAATGGAACCCATTAAAAAACTTATCTCTACTTCCCTGCCTAAGTTCAGAAGCCAAATGCCCCGTAAAAGCAACTGGGGAAAGTTCAGTTAGGATAATGACAATTTTTAAGTAATTGTTGCAATTGAATTTTAGTGATTTTGGTGACTTTCTTTCTTCCTTCCTTCTCATCCTCCCTCTTTCTCTACCCTATACCTTCCTGCTTGCCCTTCGTCTTTGTGTCCTACTGCGGTTAAAGTGAAGTAAAAATTGAAAGAGGGAGGCCAAGTTTGAAATAGATTGAAAACAACCAAAATCTATCTCAAATTATCCATTTAATTTTATTATCATCTTGAGGAGCCAATCAAGTAGTTTGGTTGCTTCATCAGGATATCTTCTCTGGCTGGAAAGATGAAAGGTCAATGACTCATTTACTGAGAGGTATGCTGTGTTCTTCCATCTTTCATTTACAATTATCTTCACTTGTTTTAAACTGTAATCCAGCCTCCAAAGTGTATTGTAGTCATTCATTATTTCTGTCAATTAAAGTTTCTAAATCATAGATTTAAAACGACTTACACATAAGCATTAATTGATTTCAATCACTGAATGCCCACTTCGGGAACATATTTACTTTTGAAAATCTGCCTTCTGTGGCAGCTGGAGCATTGGGGCTCAGCAGCTGTTAGTTTCTAAAAGCTAATATTCACTTCAGAACTGACTCAGGAAGTCCCTGTTGCCGCTCCCCAAAGAATAAAATGTTGACAGAGTGGTGTCAATGCTAATGAATTTTTGACTGAAGTAATTACAATTTCATAGAGCATTTGTGTTCTCTAAGCACTTCAACATGATGCCTTGGTCCCCCTGACCACTCATGGGCAAGTCATTTATTTATAAACCAGAAGCGCTATACTTCTTTCAAGGTTTTCATGACTGGATGCAATTTTAGATAGAGTATCCTTAAATTTAGGCTAAAAAATACACTGTTCTCAATCAGGAAAATTAATGTTTACAAATGCAGAAGATATCAGTTATAGTAGTTGTGACAACATTTTGTACAGTTGCATTGTTTAAGAATTTAAAATCAACCAATTCCTTTACATTTATATAGTGCATTAGTTGTCTTGTGCACAAGTCTCCATTATAACTGACATCTCTCTAACACTTGGAATCCAGGCTTCTATCCCAGGAGTGATGGTATAATGAGGTTGTTACCATAGAAACTTTCCAATCATTGATGCACATTTTACTATGGGAAATTTAAAATGCTATGTATGACAAATTTAGAATTTTTAAAAATATTTAGAAATAAAATAAATTCTAAAATGCAGTATATTATTCTTTTAAATGAAAAAAATCACCTGGGTAACAAATTATTGTGAAAATTGAAGAAAAAAAAGTCTTACTAGTACCATCTAAGGCAAAGAGAAGAATTTGGTGTTTTAATTGTAATATTCCAATAGATATTTTGTGTCAGAAGGTCATAATAAGCATTGGTTTGGTTTGAGATCATTAATACTTAATAGAGCATGGAATTTTTTTAGAAAACGAAATAAATAAGCTTGCTCCAGAAGTAGGAAAGATAGCTTTTCTATCTTTAGGCGACCAATTCACTTTATCAAATCTGTTTGAAATTTAAGCAGAAAATATTTTCCTCAAACTCATGTTTACATTGGAACACTGTTTGCCTATGGTATCAAATATAAGATTCACCATAAAATTGATTTGTAGTTTTATTGAACTGCATTGCCTCATGGTCATTATTTTAAACCACTGTTGCAATTAGATTTTCAACTTCTTAAAGATAAAGGCCACTGGAATGCTGGTTACCAAAATAGAGAATGTAAATTAAAATATTTTAATATGCTCAAGGAACTGTTTTTAATTTGGCTTATACATGCATTACTGCTGAATAATGAAATTTTCCAGCATTATGGATTTGACACATTGCAGAAAATAGTGTATACTATACGTTGCATATCAACTTATTCAATTCCCATTTTTATTTTATATGAATAATGTTTCCAGTTAAAATGCACTAACTTACTGCCTGAAAGCTGATTTCTTATTCATTTATTAAAGAATCATTCAGAATGGCAAGAGTCAATAATCTTTTCAGGAGAAAATTGAATGCTAATTAAAGAAAAACTATGCAAATTCAAATGAGCTACCTTTTAACAATTATATTTATTTTCAAAATTATCAGAAGTGCTGCTTAGAATACAAGTCTGTGTTAATTTTTCATTTAGTCATGACTTAGTCCATTGGGATTGCTCAGAATGATGGGAGGCATCAAATCAATTAAGGTTGACTTAAATTTTTTTTTAAAGATTTATTTATTTATTCGAAAGTCAGAGTTACAGAGAGAGGAGAGGCAGAGAGAGAGAGAGGTCTTCCATCTGATGGTTCACTCTCCAATTGGCCGCAACAGCTGGAGCTGCACCAATCCGAAGCCAGGAGCCAGGACCTTTTTCTGGGTCTCCCAGGTGGGTGCAGGAGCCCAAGGACCTGGACCACTTTCTACTGCTTTCCCAGGCTACAGCAGAGAGCTGGATAGGAAATGGAGTAGCCGGGACTCAAACCAGCATCCAAATGGGATGCCAGCACTGCAAGCAACAGATTTTCCTACTACATCACAGTGCTGGCCCAGTTGACTTAAATTTAACTTTAAATTGACCTATAGTTTCTCTCTATGTGTTATGCATTCATTTACACTGACTCTTCCACTCAGAGTGATTATGATATAAAGAGCAAATGTATTTATTTTATTGTGTCTCTGCTTAATACAATCAATTCAGACTCTTCAAAATGTAAATTTCAGATATTACTTATTTTCTCTGGTCTTCCAATAGTATCCTATAACCAAAAATGAATATGTATATGGCTATTTTTATGATAATAGTAACATATATCCTCTAAATTGTAAGAAAATTAAAAAGCTATTTTTAAAATCCCCACGTTGGACACTTTTCTATAATATTTGATGGAACAAGGACATATCTCTGTTCTGTGCCCCTTTTCCTTACAATATCTATTTCTAAATAATTCCCTAAACTATGGCACAGTTTTTGTAATTCAAAAATTCTTTTAAATGTATTGTCATGATTCAGATATTCTTTTAAATGGCATCAATTGCCCTTTGAGCTGTTATAAACATTGACTTGAATGTTGAGAACTGCAATTGTTCTATTAAAAAGTGTCAAAAAGTGTTTAAGATTCAATAATGTTTAAACGTATATGGCATGCTTGATGATGTCTTGTACGGCACTGAAAATGTTTATTTCCAGCATATTTTCTGGATCTGATGTCAAGCAAAATTTCTTTCTTCCCATCCCTTTTGTCAGGTAGGTGTTAATGTGGTGTGGTAAGAATGTAGGCAAGGGAGAAGCTACACAGTTCACTTCCCGGAGCTCTGCAGAAGACAAGATTCACTAGAGTTTATCATTATTCATCAAACACATTGAAAATTGAAAAAACTTCAGACAAAAATGAAAATTAGACTTTGTAGCTTGATTTTCAGAGGAGACATGTGAGAAAAAAAGTGACACCATGTGATTTATTCTCATGACAAGATTGTAAAAGGAACAAGAAGTACAAAAACTCAATCTGTTGTTACATTATTTACGTTTGTACTTCTCTTTGTTCTGTGTGCCATATTTGAGTGCTTCAAAATGCAGATATAAAATCTTCATAAAGCTTTACAGGATCAACTTCAAACAAGTAACTTTTTAGTTTAATGGTAATTATAAAGCATTAAATGTGCTTTTCTTTTATGCAACATATTTTTTCAATAGATAGCTCAGTGTATGCTGACATTAAATTATTTTGCTGTCTTTCAAAATACATAGCTATTTTGTAAATTCTACATGGATTTCTTTTTTGACTTTATTAAAGATTTATTTATTTATTTTAATGTCATTACATTCTGAAATGTGAAGATCTGTTTACATGTACATTTAATGCTTTAAAAATTGAAAAGATTTGATTTTCCAAATAGTTTTTCAATTCAAGTAATATGTGTTTAAAATATTAATTAGGGAACCAAATAATATGGAAAATTCAACTGTTGCTTCTTTTTTGCACATGTGGTGTATCAAAAATTAAAACAACACTATCTTTACAGATCAACTTACATTTCTCATATTTGAAATGACTCAAAGGCATGGAGCCATATCATTTTAAAAGAAAGAATGAAAACTTTAAAAGGAAATTAAGTTTGCACTGATTACTTTTTAATATGTGCATTTTAAGATTTTTCCTTCTGTGAATAAGATCATTTCTCCCTTCACAATGTTTACATTCTGGTTGGAGAGATCATAGCATTAAAAATTCCCAGTTTGAGCCATGCGAAATATATACAACATCATTTTGGAGAAACTAGATTTTCTTTTTAAAGATTTATTTATTTATTTGAAAGTCAGAGTTACATAGAGAGGAGAGAGAGAGAGAGAGAGAGAGAGAGAGAGGTCTTCCATCTGCTGGTTCACTCCCTAATTGGCCGCAGTGGCCGGAGCGCACTGATTCGAAGCCAGGAGCCAGGAGCTTCTTCCAGGTCTCTTCTGTGGCTGCAGGGGCCCAAGGACTTGGGCCACCTTCTACTACTTTCCCAGACCATAGCAGAGAGCTGGATTGTTAATGGAGCAGCTGGGTCTCGAACCGGCACCCATATGGGATGCTGGCGCTTCAGGCCAGGGCATTAACCTGTGCCACAGCGCCAGCCCCTAGATTTTTTTAAATCAACTTATTTATTGAAAGGTAGTGTTAGGCCGGCGCCGCGGCTCACTAGGCTAATCCTCCGCCTAGCGGCGCCGGCACACCGGGTTCTAGTCCCGGTCGGGGCGCCGGATTCTGTCCCGGTTGCCCCTCTTCCAGGCCAGCCCTCTGCTGTGGCCCGGGAGTGCAGTGGAGGATGGCCCAGGTGCTTGGGCCCTGCACCCCATGGGAGACCAGGAAAAGCACCTGGATCCTGGCTCCTGCCATCGGATCAGCGCGGTGCGCCGGCCGCAGTGCGCCGGCCGCGGCAGCCATCGGAGGGTAAACCAACGGCAAAGGAAGACCTTTCTCTCTCTCTCTCTCTCTCTCACTGTCCACTCTGCCTGTCAAAAAATAAAATAAAATAAAATAAAAAAAATTAAAAAAAAAAATAAAAGAAAGGTAGTGTTACAGAGAGGCAGTGAAAGAGAGAGAGAGAGACAGAGAGAGTCTTCCATCTGCTGGTTCACTTCCCAAATGGCCACAATGGTTGGAGCTACACCAGTCCAAAGCCAGAGGCCAGTAGCTTCTTCCAGGTCTCCCATGCAGGTGCAGGGGTTCAAGACTTGGGCCATCTTCTGCTGCTTTCCCAGGCCACAGCAGAGAGCTGAATCTGAAGTAGAGCAGCTGGGACTAGAACTGGCACCCAAATAGGAAGCTGGCACCGCAAGCTTTACTTGCTATGCCACAACACAGGCCTCAAGAATTTTTTTTTTTACAAAAATAATTACAGCAATCATAAGAATTTTTAAGAATCAGTAATTGTGCAATCATTTCATCAGATTTTATAAAAATTGTATTTGTCTTTCTGCTGTCTCATGTTAATTCATAAGTTATCATAGAGCTAATTTATTGAAATAACTTAAATATTAGTTTCATAGCCATTAATCAGACTGAATTCTGTGGTCAAGGATTTTTCTCTATCACCTATAACTTTGGGCCATTTAGTAGGACAAATATATTTATTGTAATTATATTCTCTGCATACAGTTGGCAAATTCATTGCCCTATGATGCAAAAGAATGTGGCAAGAACTAAGTAAAGTAAGTCTATAGAATTCTGCGAGATTCTCCAAAAGGAGATTTGAATATAACAGAAGTGTTATTCATTGGAGTTTAAAAATTGTCTGACTCAGACAAGTTAGTTAAGTGACTAAAATCTGAAACCCACACTGAATTCCAGTGAATGTCACTTTGATTTTCACAACTAGTGATATATAGGACTGTTCACCAGGAACTGAACAGAACCCAAAGTAATCCTTATTGAATCCTTAGTTATCTTGATGTTGTAATGCATTTCTGTTTCTTGGGGTAGGACTTAGGTTCACAGATGCTACACAGCAATTTAGCAATTAATTGTCTAAGTTTTCTATTCATAAAATGATCAAATTACAGTAGACTGAAGATGTGGCATTGTGTATATTAAATATTGAATTTTAGCATTAAGTAAACTACTTTATTAATTAAAAAGTTAATTAAAATGCATATTGAAAAGGATGTTTTGTGACTTCAAAAAGGGCAAATTTGGAATTCGGGTAAATTTAAAAGTTACTGGAATACAGTTTCATCCTTGGAGATAGTAATTAACTGAATTATAGGACCACTGTGAGTATTCACAAATTATGTAAGTCATTGACTACATTTGACTTTTTAATCTGGTCATCTCAGTTGTTGCCTTTTCTTAAATATAATGAAACAAATAATTAAAGTATATACATATACATGCATGCACAACCAGCAGTTAAGTGACTGTTTATGTAAAGTATACTAGCTATTTTACATGCTTAATTAATATTAGGGAACTATAAACTATGGAGTCTGTTGAGCTACTTACTCTCTTGAAATCAATTTAGTTTACAGTAATGGCATACCACAGATTCTTATTAAGGAATTGTTTTAAAACCTAAGAGGTGCTAGAGTGTACTGTAGCATAAAACATGTTTGGTAGCTTATACCTGTGCATTGCTTCACATTTTTGCTAAAATGATACAACATCCCATTGTAGATATGTCCCAATGTATAGAGGTCCATCTGCTGATTTTAAAGAAGACTTAAAATGTGCATCCTTTTCTTTTATGGTATTCTCTCTGGACAGACTTTTTTTTTTCAATTTAGTCATCATTTTGTGGTTTGAAATTAGCACATTACTTTCTTAATGACAGTGTCTAATATTTGGTTTATTTGGTTGATTCACTTACACATACTTTCATATTTCAGGAACATTTTGGTACATTTGGTTTAACTGTTTGTCTTGTTTTTAATATTTATTCACTTATCTTAATGAAAAATCTTAAGGCTGGAACAGAATTTACCATATTAAGAAATGTATTATTATAAAATATTTATTACCAAATAAATATATTAACTTATACTTATTATATTCAGCTACATTTAATAAACTAGTTGAGAACTGTCTACACTTAACCTCAAGAAGTGATTAATAATTTTGTAGGACACAGAGCTGTGTCAAAATAAGGACTTACTTATTTCAAATTTTAGTGTTTTCTATTAATTTAATTCAAAACAAAAATAATTCTGGTTTCCACTGGCTCTAATAATATTATACCCTTAAAACAAGTATGCTAACTGAGATATTGTGGATATTTTGAATGTCTTCCCTACCTAGGGACCTAATTCTTTTGGCAAACCATCATGCCAACAGTTCCCTCTCTTAAGAACAAATTTGCAATAAAGACTCTTCTTGGGGGGCTGGCTCTGTGCTTTTGTGGGTAAAGCTGCTGTCTGTAGTGCCGGCATCCTATATGTGCACTGGTTCGTGTTCTGCTGCTCCACTTCCCATCCAGCTCTCTGCTATGGCCTGGAAAAGCAGTAGAAGATGGCCCAAGTCCTTGAGCCCCTGCACCTGCGTGGGAGACCTAGAAGAAGCTCCTGGCTCCTGGCTTCGGATCGGGGCAGCTCTGGCTGTTGCAGCCAAGTGGAGAGTTGAACCAGTGGCTGGAAGACTTCTCTCTCTATGTCTCTCCTCTCTCTGTGTAACTCTGACTTTCAAATAAATAAATAAAACTTAAAAAAAATAGACTCTTCCCTGTGCCTAAACTTCAGTAGTAGTGCTTCACAACTGTGCAAGGTCAAGTGATCCCCCAACACTGATCTTGCATAATCTGTGAGCACTTTAGATTTTAGCTTTGTGGATCCTAAGTAAATCTAGACTGAGTGTCGAAACCAGCTTTTAACATGAAGCCATAATCAAAAACACCCTATAGAAAAAATTATTGAAAATGAATTTATTATTTCTGGAATGCTATAGTCCAAATGTTTGAGCATTCAGCACCCCCCTCCTTGCAATTCATATACTGAAACTCAACTCCCAGTGAGATAAAATTAAGAGGTAGGGCCTTTAGGAGGTGATACGGTTATAGGGGCCCTTCCTCATGAATGGGATCAGTGTCTATATAATAGACTTTAGCTAGCTTCCTTCCTCCCCCAAGTGAGGATGCCATGAGAAGAGGTCTGACCCAGAAGGTGACCTTTAGTAAGCACCAAATCAGCCTATAGCTAGGATTTCCCAGTCTTCAAAATGAGAAATAGATTTCTAGTGTTTATAAGCCACCTGCTTGTGATATTTTTGTTATAGCAGACTAAACAGACTGATACAGCTAAGCTTCTTGAAAAGCTATAAAAGAAGAGTTACATTTCATGCTCTATGTCTTCTGGAAAACCACTTTTATGTTCCTCTTGTTAAAGATTCAACATTCTACAATTCTCTTTCGTTTGTTTTGTTAAACTCCTCAAATCATTTTATCTTTCCTCTGGCTATAAGACAGATCTGCTTTTGTCACACCTACCCATACCTCTGACACACATGAATTTATGCACACTTCCTCAATATGTGATTTGCTCCTTAAGGTAGCTTTCTTCTATGCCAAACATTTTGCTTCTCTGAGTTTTCTGGTTCTTTTTTTTTTTTTTTTTAAGATTTATTTATTTGAAAGCAGTGTTAGAGAGAGAGAAGCAGACATCAATTTACCTTCTGCTTGTTCATTTCTTAAATGGATGAAATGGCTGTGGCTGGGTCAGGATGAAGCCAGGAGCTTTATGTAGATCTTCCACATAGGTTCAGGGGCCCAAGCACTTGGGCCATTTTCTGCTGCTTTCCCAGGCACATCAGCAGGGAGCTGGATTGGAAGTGGAGCAGCTGAGATTTGAACCTGCACCCATATGGGATTCTAGTATCACAGGCAGCAACTTAACTCACCACACCACAATGCCTGCCCCCATGTTTTCTATTTCTTGTTCACGCAGTCAATGGCTATGTAATATGAAGAGAAGAGTAGGAAGTGAGGGAAATTTCTTGTTCTATATTTTCTTTTGCTTATTATATTTATCTCTTTTGACGTTGTTGGAACATCTTCCTGCTCTTTACATGGGAATGATCTACACTATCTATCTATTACTGTCACTCAGTTTGTTATATCAAAGTAGGATGAAGGCTACATTTTTGGAATAGCCTATGTAAGACTTTTTTTTTTACAATTTTGAAGCCAATAAAAGTAAGTCTGCCCTGGGGCATCTAATAAGCAGCTTACTAAGGACTGAGGAGAGGCAGAGGAAGAAAAATGGATCATGTTCGCATAAAACTCATGGTCTACCAGGAAAGATAAATTTTATAATATAATTAGCTATTGTATGAGCTTCAGTTGCTGTAGGAAATTTATAGACCTAATTGAAAATTGAAAAGGGCATTTACAGCGATTCTGATTTTGGTGGACCAAAAACTTTGAATCATGCCTTGTAGACTGTGTAGTGTATGACAGAGGACTCAGGAACTGTTGAGAAAAGTGAACCATAGGTTTGTGCATGGCCTCTGCTCATTTGTGTGATTCAGGTGTTGTAGGAGTACAGATTGTGTACGAGAAATTTTCAAAATCTTCATGGAAAATATACTTTATGAAAAAAAGCTGTATAGATTTCCAAATGTTTTGCAAAAAGAAAAGTCTTTTATTTTCCATAAATTTTTTTGAAAACCCACAGTACATTAAACCTGCATTTTCTTAAATATTTATTCAAGATAGGAGTAGAGAACTATGATGATTTTAGCAGGAAAACATTTACATACAGAAATCCACAAGAAAAATCCGAACATATAATTACTCAGAGTAGAAATTGCTTTTAATATTTGTTTTAGTGGAAAACTTTATCAGATTTTGCCATCTCATACAGATAATTCTGGATAGATATAGTTTTTTCCACTGAACTACTATGTTTAAATCTTTTAAACCCATATGTCATGCAAAAATTCCATGCAAAAAAAAAAAACATGCAAATCTTCATATTAATTTAACACAACTCCCAACTGGTCCAACTGTATTTTGAAAATGCATTTCCTGTTCCTGTATCTAAAGGTCATTGTGCTTTCATTCTTTAATTTCCACCATATCTATTGTTGTTAAAAACTGATTTTATTATGAAATGACAAAGATAGGTACCTGAAGGACAATCCTGAGAAAAGTTCCTTAGAAATTATCATTAGGTTTTTGCCCAAGAAAATATATGCTATGCGTAATTTATGTAAGAGTACTAAAATGTCGAAAAATTAAAAGAATAAAACTAGCAAACTGGCACTTTTCAATGCTTTAGGCTCTGTTACCAAAGAATATTCCTCTTTTAAACAATCACAAAGAATTTAAAGACAACCAAAAATAATAGGCTCATTCTCACATGCTAAGAATTTAAGAATTAGTTGCATGACGAAGAAAATATTCCTTGTAAATACCACAAGTAAAGAAGGCTATTAAGTTACCATATACAGGCCAGCAATGTGGCACAGTATGTTAATCCTCTGCCTGCGGCGGTAGCATCCATATGGGCGCCGGTTCTAGTCCCGGCTGCTCCTCTTCCAGTCCAGCTCTCTGCTATGGCCTGGGAAAGCAGTAGAAAATGGCCCAGGCCCTTGGGTCCCTGCACCCACGTGGGAGATCGGGAAGAAGCACCTGGCTCCTGGCTTCAGATCGGCGCAGCTCCAGCCATCGCAGCCAACTGGGGAGTGAACCAGTGGATGGAAGACCTCTCTCTCTCTCTCTCTCTCTCTCTCTCTCACTGTTTGTAACTCTACCTCTCAAATAAATAAATAAATCTTTAAAAAAAAAAGTTACCATATACAAAAATGCCTGCTTGGAGGAAATCAGACTAAAGGTGGCACCAGGGCTCAGTTAGGACCCACAGTCTTCTTGGTCAATTACTCTGCCATCTTTTATTTTGCCTTTTATCAAAATTCTTGCCTTTCCACTGCTGGTAAAAGGGTGGTTGTCATAGCTTTGGATATTCTCTCTACTCAAGGAAAGGGAGGAAAAGGGATTCCAGGAGGAAATTCCTTAGAGTGGCTCTCACCTTTTGTCACTGGAGAAGAAATTCTAGACTCTCTCCAACAGTCTTGCTAACATTTCGTTGGTCAGAACTAGCTCATATCTCCATCTCTAGCTGCAAGAGACTAGCAAGATAATTTCTGGCAAGGGGGGTATGCTAGACATGACTGTTTAGATCAATTATAAGGCATCCTTTATAAATGAATGCATTATCTTCCTGAATAAAACACAGTTCTGTTTTGAAGAAAAACATGTCTTTGGTGGGTAGTGGTGGCAAATTGTGGGGGAAGTAAATTGGTTAGTGGATAGTGTCTTTCACATTCAGGAAGATTCTAGCCAAGCTTTCATAGCTAGCAATTGCAGAATGGGATTGTGCCACATATTTAGAGACAAGTTCACAAATTGTTTACATATAGCATGAGAGCTTTTGAAGCAGAAATTGGTAGTTTTTTTTTTTTTCTTGATGGTATTATTGTTAGAGGAGTTAGCTGTACTTTTAATAATTGAGATTATGCTCTTAGTTAACTTTCAAAGTTAAAAAAACTTGTTTTTTCTATATTACATTTATTAAGACAGAAAAAAACTATCCTGATGCATCACTAATAGCATGTATTGCATCACAAAATGCTGGCATTGTGTTTTCCAACTTGACAATGCTCTTTAAACACTTAAAGTTTAACATGTAAATGCTTTTTGCCAAAATTTAAAAAATGAGATTGCCTCCAAAAATAGAAGTGTTAGATAAATATGAAATGACACTTATACTTCATTTTAAAAAGAACAGTCTTCTTTTCCAGTTCTTTGTGTAAAAATTAGGTAATTATAGAATATACTCCAGGTAATTAAGAAGATTTTATCTACTTAGTAGTTAATAAAAAAAATAACCAGTGAGAAACATTTTCAAGGAAATCCATATAGAATTTTTGGTTGTATCTCTGAAGTTATTTTAATTATATCTTTTCTTTAAGGACACCTGTTGAAATAAAATTGAGATAATTATTTTTAAATTAAAAATGTGTTCTTAATATTAGTTAACATTTAGCAGGCCCTGATATCAATGTGGCTTCTAGTATTAGTCCATTTTTGCACATAAATGAAATATGTTAATAGCATAGAAACCACATAGCCACTTAAAATTCTTGAAAGGTGAAATTTTATATGATGAAATTTCCCTGGAGGCCATGAATAAGTTAGGAACAAGAATACCAAGTGGGTAGTACTTTGTATTGCTAGTTCAGTTTTCATTTAGTCAGCTTACATATTCTGGTTTCTCAGTTGCATATGATTCATATAAATAATTCACATACTTGGTTCAAAATGTGAAAATAATTGGCAAGAGATTATTTGGAATATTTTTGTTTCCAATGTTGAATACATCTACTATACAAGAAAGCCTTGAATATTTTTGAAAAAATTAGGTTCTCATTATCTTTCCTAAGTATGATTATTTTCTTCTTATACCTGCAATATCTGCATGATTTACAGTTGTGATATCAAAGTGATCAGGCAGGAGTGTGCAAGAGCTTTGTTCTTGGACATACTCCTGAGTCTCAATTTTCTCACCTTAAAATGACAGTGACAATAACTAAATTACACGGTTGTTGTGAGGGTTGGCTATAACACAGGTGAAGAGTATCTTATTCTCATATCAACTTGGAACAGCAATTATTATTGTAATCTACAGAGGAAAAACTGAACTTCTAAGTTGTGTTTATAAATATAAATAATACTTTCAAAGACATTTAGAAGTACAATTTTCAACTTTGTCTTTGTTCTGAAAAAGACTAGTTTTTAAGTAGATCATCAATTTAATTATGCTGTACATCTTTTAAAATATAATTTGATGAACGAAATTGTTAATATTTACACATGTTCTCATTACCCACTTAAATGGGAAATAGATCTGACACTGTTTTTATTTGTGATAATAGCTTACAAATACACGTTTCGGGTATGTGAAGAAGCCAGCCATATGCTGGCTCTTCTCAGGAGGTCCACCTTAGTGTATGATTCAGTTACTGACCTTTTGCGCTTAGATTCTTAAACATGTTATGAGTGCTAGAGCAAGCCTAAACCATGTTATTTTTGTTATGCCAGCTACATACAAATGTATTTCATCAATCACGCCACACTCCTAAAAGATCTTCATTGTTTCCCTTCCATCTATAGTGTAAGAGCTAAACTCCTACCATTAAATTTGGTATTGTATTACATTACAAATGCTACATTATATTGCAAGCATGATAACCTCCCATCAGTTTATCGTTCCATACATCTATTTTGGACCACGCTTGTCTGTGAACAGGGTGCCCATTTGGAAGACTCCCTCCTTTGTTTCAGCCCATTGGAATTGAAGCCTGTTCTGTTTGTGTTTATTCTTTTGGTGAAGCATAGAATGCCCCTTTTTCATTTCCATTCCTTCAAAACTCATTGAAATGTTGAATATTTTCCTTGATATAGTGAAGGAATATATATTTTATGCTGAATTTTTATACTGTCTTCTCTGTCTTCAGATACAATATATTTTTGCTTTACGTTTCATTTTTCTCCATGTTTTATTAAATTTACGTGTTTATTTGAATAGGGAGAGAGAGAGGGAGGGAGGGATAGAGAAAGAAAGAGAAATCTCAAATCAACTATTTCTCTCCCAAATGCTTGCAACAACTGGAACTGGACCAGGATGAAACCGGGAGCCTGAAGCTCAGTCTGGGTCTCCCACATGGGCAGCAGGAGCACACGCTCTCTTGAGCCATCAGTGCTGTCTCCCAGGGTATGCATTAGCAGGAAGCTGGAATCAGAGGTGGAGCCAGAACTTGGAGCAGGTACTGATTTGGGATGCAAGCATCCCAAACATCAGTTTAACCACTGATCAAATTATTTTTTCTCATATTTTATAGTTATATCTATTTTATGTATGAGTTTATAAACCCCTTGAGGGAATGCTATATGTTTTATAATTTTACGTATATTTCACAGTATCTATCAAAGATTATTATAGATTATAAATAAAAAATTCTAGAAATAACTTTAGTATTGATCATATAATTAATGGTTGCATGATTCTTGCCATATTTTTCCTTTTAATAATATAAGTTTTGGTGCCAGCACTGTGGCATAGCAGGCAAAGACACCAGCTGCAGTGCCAGCATCCCATATGGGTGCTGGTTCAAGTCCCGGCTGCCCCATTTCTGATCCAGATTTCTGCTAATGGCCTGGGAAAGCAATGGGAGATGGCCCAAGTACTTGGGCCCCTGCACTTGCATGGGAGACCTGGATGAAGCTCCTGGCTCCTGGCTTTGGATCAGCCCAGCTCCAGCCATTGCGGCCATTTTTAATGAACCAGCAGATAGAAGACATCTCTCTCTCTTTCTGCCTCTGTCTCTCTTTAACTCTGCCTTTCAATAAATAAATAAATCTTTTAAAAATTGCATAATAAAAAATAAGCTTCATGAAGTTAGGAACTTTTATCTGCTGTTCTCATAATGTATTTACAGTGTTTGAAAATAGTATCAGGGCCCCCGTCATGGCATAACAGATAAAGCCTCCGCCTGCGATGCCAGGCTCCCATATGAGTCCTGGTTCATGTCCTGGCTGCTTCACTTCCCTTCTAGTTCCCCGCTAATAGCCTAGGACAAGTAATGGAAAATGGTCCAAGTGCTTGGGCCACTGCCACCTGCATGAGACAACCAGATGAAGCTCCTGGCTCCTGACTTTGACCTGAACAAGCCCTGGCTGCTGCAGGATTTGGGAGATGAACCACTGGATGGAAGATCTCTCTCTCTCTCAATCTGTCTCTCTCTTTCTGTAACTATCTCTCCCTCTTTCTCTATAACTCTGCCTTTCAAATAAATAAATAAATGTTTTAAAAAATGCCTGGGACACAGAAGGCACTAAATATTGGCTATAATGATGCATTTATGTGTATATCAAATATTCATTGAACAAATATCAGAAGTATTTCATCAAAATGATAGTTTAATGATGCTAATAAAGCATTGTTATCCAGAAGCTGGTTTGACCATGTATGGTAGGTTTTTGGAGGGAGGAATCTCTTGATTTGAAATATTAGAAGGACTGACAGCAAAGCGACTATCTGAATCTGACAGCTAATGTTATTCAATTACACATCACACCCATTAATGGTTTTCATTCAAATGTGTGGGCTGTATGGCTTCTGTTAAGCCATTATAAGTGTTCTAATTCCTCCTGGACTAATCACAATGCAAAATTCATCACAAGCTAGGCAATATTCTAAAGCTATCTAATGGTTATACAGACGAAAATGCAGCTGCGAAGGTTTGTTCAGGGCTCATTGCCAGAAACAATTTTTTAATCTATTTTTATAAATTTTAGGTACTGTGGGAAGCCTATACTTGTCTTTTAAATATTAAGCAATATTAACAGATATCCTTGATGCCAACTTTGAAAGAGGGCATGGGCAAATCTTGCTCTGTGGAACAATTATTTTTCAGTGGCTGAATATACATATAAAGAGGTTTCAATTAAATTAAATGTTAAGGCACTCAACGTGTCAGAATTGGAAGGAAGCATAGCAAATCCTTTGTGAATTACTTTTAATATGTGAATAATTACGTACTAATTTGCATGTTCTGTACAGTTTGATTTTTGTGTTATGAATATATATTTATATACATGTATTCTTTAGACAAGATGAGAGAAAAATATATTATTACCTGAGTATTTAATTTTGAAAGTATTTTAGTTTATAAAAGTTCATTTCAGACGGGAAGAGATAGCACTCCTTTAAAGTAGAGCTTGTTATCTGTGTGCTAATTGAGCTTATCTCTTGCCTGAAACAGAATTATCTGTTCTTAGGCATAAGAAAAGCTTCTATATTCAGTACAGTGATATTTACAAAAGATCTAGTTTAGTAGACACTTTATCTTTCTCTGTGGTTCCATGTCTTTGTTAGGCAGAAAAGAATTACATGGTATTATTCTTAATTTGCTGAAAAGGTGTGATATTTTCCTAATGAAATGAAAATGATTGCTGGAATATGTTTACATGTTAATAAGTGGCAGAGACTCAGAGGGAGAAAACACCCCCTGAGTTTTGTTCTCATAATTTCTCTTTGGAGACCTGTACTGAAATAGCTTGCCCTTTTGTTGTAATTCATGTAAATAATTCTGAATATTCCATTTACATTTCTTTTAAAAATTACTGCCATAGAAAGACATGTCAAGCCTACTGAATGAATACTAGGTATATATGAAGCACAGATCAAATAGAGGGTAGTTTTACTGAAAACAATATAAAAAGGGAGATTATTTAAATTTCCCTGTCCCTATTAGCCTGTCATTTCTTTTCCTCCACCTTAAATCCATAAAGTTTCTGAGATAATGGACCAATTATCATTCTCTCCTATAATCACCAAGAAACAAACATTTTGAAAAATAGAAACGTGAACTAAAAAGCCATGTCTCCCTCCATATTACTATCTCATTCTTTAGTGTTCTTACTGAAATGAGAAAACTGTTATTGCCCAGAAGAAAGCCAGTCCTAATCATCCAGCTAATGAAAGGTCAACATTCTCCTGAAATGTAAAAAGTCATGGAAGAATAATTAGTGAGATTTGTCAAAAGGGGAAAGAAGAGACCAAAGATATATTTCACAAGGGCAGACAAAGAGAATGTAAAGTGGAGAGAAGGAACATAGATTTTTTTTTTTTTTTTTTTTTTGACAAGCAGAGTTAGAGAGACAGAAAGAAAGGTCTTCCCCCCCCAAATGGCCTCTATGGCTGGTGCACTGCGCCAATTCGAAGCTAGGAGCCAGGTGCTTCCTCTTGGTCTCCCATGCGGGTGCAGGACTCAAGCACTTGGGCCATCCTCTACTACCTTCCTGGGCCACAGCAGAGAGTTGGACTGGAAGAGGAACAACCAGGACAGAACCAGTGCCCCAACTGGGACTAGAACCCTGGGTACCAGCGCCGCAGGCGGAGGATTAGCCTAGTGAGCCGTGGCACCAGCCGAACATGGCTTTCTTGATGACAATGGGACTTTTAATTTTGGTACCTAACTATAATACAGTTCCAGTCTTGTCTACAACTAGCTGGAAAGTACGATTGACAGATAAAACAAAGGACATCCAATTAAATTTGACTTTGAGATAAACAAAGTACTTTTTTTTTATCTCAAAGTCAAATTTAACTTGGAGTCTTGTATTTTTATTTCCTAAGTTTAGCAATGCTACCTGGAGACACATTGTTTTTCAAGAGATTAGCACTGCTAGAAATATTCTTCAGATGTTTTCTGTACAACACCAGAGAGTAGGGAAAAGTGTCAAAAGCGATCCATTTCTGAAGATGCTAAGTGGGTCTTTTTTAAGGACTGACATCTCATTTTTTTTTTTTTGAGATGTTATAAGAAGACGTTTGCTAACAGCATTAAATTTTTACCCTTGGGAAATGATATATTTTTGCTCTTAATAAGGTACTTCTTACACTAAATACCTTATTTGTTATGTAAGGGATCCTACTGTCATGAGACTTTAGATTTCCTTAGAGCTCAGTTCACATGTAGTTGATTAAAGAGCAACTAGAAGGAAAGTCACTGAGTGAAGACTCTCAGGAAGCTTGAAATAACAGCTGAAGAAATCATGGTTCTGAATGCCATTGAGTCCAAAGGCATTCAGGGGCCACAGGAAAGTGGTACAATTCCGTGGCATCAGCCCTGTCATGGATAACCATTCAATACATTTTACCCTTAAGGTTTTCACAGAGATATATTTACACGGTTAAGTCATACTCAAAAACAATTAGAGAGGCTGATCCTAGGAGTTAAATCAGTAAGTCAAAACAATTTGGGCACTGCATAAATACAGCTTCATAGCTCATGGGCAAACTGGCTCATACACCACCATCCCCTAGAAATTTCTACTCAATATCCTTAATAAGAAAGTGGATGAAAAAGATGTAGTAGAGGCATGACTATGTAAGTATGCAGTATAAGACAGAAAATGAGGTTTACTTAATGTTGCCTTAAGTTTGTATATAATAACTAAATGCATCTAGAAGGAAAATAATTTGTTAACTTCTTTCTTTGGAACCTAACTCAGTCCCTGGGCTTTGGTAGGTACACATTAAGTGGTTCCTGATTGTATGAATAGATACATCTTTTACTTGGAATAATTTCACAGTCCAGGCAGGCAGAAGGATATAGAAAGGTATAAACGTCATACAATATCCCTGGTGTCGTAAAAGAAAATGTCACATTTCACGCATTAATGTGGGAGTAAGCAAGTAGACACAATTCCCTGCCATTTGGAGAGCCAGAAAGCCATCCTTAGAAAGTTGAACTTTGAATTATATGAGTTGATCCTTAGAAAACAAAATGAAAAGATAAATAGAATTTACAAAGTTTATAGGCACAGGCTTGGCTAGGAGAAGAGACTATGTGGGTGTTGGGAGCTTTGCTTACATAAATACCTCTGAGGTCTAAACTTTAATGCAGAATGGACACAAATCGAAGCTGAAAAGTTTCTGGACCTCACTTTATGTCAGATTAAAGAGGTTGGATTTTATTCTGAAAACCACTGGGAACCATTGACAGATTTTAAGCAGGGCCTAAAAAGGTCAGATATGCAGTTAGGTAGAGCATTTTGTCAATTATGTGGAGAATGGCCCTGAGAGGGTCAAAACTACAGGCAAGGGAGCCAACTCGATAACTGTTACCGTAATCCAAGACTGAAATAATACAAGGGTGAAAAGGTTATTGTTAAAAGTGGCCGAGTGGAGGGTAGGGGTCCAGGTTGAAGAAATGCTTTCACAGGTACAATTAGTAGGGCTCAGTGGGTTAGAGCAGAATGAGGAATGCAACAATATGCAGCAGCAAGTTGGGTGTATGAGTATGAAAATGTGGTGAAAAGACTACATTGGAAGAAATGAATTAAGATTCATCAACTCAGAGGTGAAGTCATGAGAGTGTAAGAGATCACCGTGAAGAGTGTAAATAAGAATGGAGTTAGCAAGAAAATGGAAATCTGGAGAAGGTCAACATGGAAGTTCAGATAAGGAAGGAGAAAAAACCTGAAAAGGGAAAGAAAGGTGGAGGAGGAGAAAACCAACCAGGATAGAAGGGAAAGAGAATCTGAGGGTGAATCATGAAAAACAAGAATGCAGAGAAAACTTTAAGACAAGAATAATAGTGCCAAATAGAACACAGAGGTTCAGCAAGACATATCTCCATCCTAATTCTTTTAAGAATATCTTTATAATACATAACTCAACATAAATTAATCTAATTTCCTCACCCCGTTTGAAGAACAGATTTTAAATTGGAAAGGTGATTATCACAGATGAGTCATGACATTTGATTAAGAGTTTTTGCCCCATTTAATGTACAGCCTAACAAAATTTCATAATGCACTGATTAAAATTTAAATGACACCTTTTTAAAAACATCTTTTCATACTGAATTTTATTTATAGGATGGGTTAGTCAAGTTCCCTGGTCTATCAGGAAATTAATTTACAGTTTAAAATGAACTAAATATACACCTAAATTCCTCAAGAGAGAAATTATGTTCCATCAAGCATAACATACACGTATAAATATTATCTGTTTACACATACATGATAAACTCTAAGAGCCTTTTCCAAAGCATTATAGGTTATTTATGAAATATAATGAAACACAGATTTCTGACTCCAACAATTACATTAAGAGTATAGAAATTTTATACATAAGAACCAATAAGTGAGAAGAAGTGATGCATTGGAAATAAGCCGAAGAAAGATCAAGAAACCTGGGTATGAGAGTCAGAAAAACCGATCAGACTGATTCCATAATGGTCATGGAGAAGAAAGAAATGAGGTTAAGAGAGAACACTCTTAGGTTT